ATATGTAAAATACACATGTAAATATTTATATAAATGTATTATTTTTCGTCTTTTTCTTTTATATGAGGATATCTTCACATGTACGTATGCACATATATTATACACATGTATATATTTATTTAAATTGGCCTTGGTGTTATTTATTTTTCTTTAATTTTCTTTTTTGTTTTTTGTTTTATTTGAGGGGCCGTTCCGTTTGGATACGATCCATTTTTGCTTGCTTAAATAATTTTTTTTTTGGAATAATATAATAAGGGAAAACGACGAGATAGAATCAATGAGTCCAATGTTGGTTACATGTTACAATGCCAATCACTCAAACGCAAGAGTTTGGTATAAGAATGTTACAACGATTTCATGAATTAATCAGCATAAATTATCGAATATATTATATTTATTATTTGATGATATACTATATAGTTAGAGTTGCACCAAAAGAGAATGTATAATAAATTACACGGGGTTAGTTTCAATAGATATATACTATATATCAAGTGTATTAATGTCATGTCATACGTGGATTGTCTATGATGTTTCTCCATGTTTTTTTAAGCATAAAAACGTTTAATCTATCATGGGAATATGAATCTATGGACCGACCGAAGCAAGTAGTCTCGATCTCTTTTACCGCTTTTTAATATAATATGTATAAATGTCAAATTAATGTCACAGTCACGACAATACGATTCGGAATGCAAGGGATTGTGTTTTCGAATTTTGATTGGCTCATCAAAAGAAAGACAAATAATATATATATATATATATATATATGAAAAAAAAGAAAAAAAAATAATATATATATATATATACACACACATATATTCCAAGATTTTTTTGTCTTTACAAGAACCGTCAAAATCGTAGGAGAAGTTAAAAAGGCAGTTTATTTTCTTTCATATGTTTGTATTAACCTGAAAAATCAAAAATAAAATTTTCAAAATCACAAATGGAATTATATGGTTACAATGTGAACATTAACGGCCTTCGGACCCCGTGAATCCCTTGTAAATACCTTTTTTATTTTCTTTGCGTGTATATTATATATATATATATAAATAATTTCAAGAAATCCTCATTAATAATTAATAAAATATTTGTTTGAAAAAAATGTATAAAATGTGACCGATGACTTTCGACCCTAAAAAGATTCCTTAATCTCATATTTATTGAAATTGAAGATTATTTTGTTTATATAATATAGTTTAGTTATAATGTGAAACTAATGAATAATTGAGGATAAACACATACACATGTTTTTATGTTATGTCGTATCCACAATAAATTAAATGGATTTTGATGTAACTATCGTTTACAAAAAATAAAAATGTGAAACTCTATTTATATAAGAAAAATCGTCATATAAATTAAATCATTGACTTTTTGATTTATGAATTTCTAAAATTTTTATTATTTTGTCACATCAGCCTATTGACTAGATTATTAAATGCATAAAATAATAAGAACTAAAATTTAATTTTTACAAATATTATATACATAATGAGAGATTAAAATATAAAGTAAGGTTTCAATGTTATGGGAAAATTGTGGAAAGTTCAAGCCCTAATGATATTCTTTTTAATTTCAAAACAATATATTATTTGGTTTTCTATAAATAATGGGAAAAAGCCGAAAGTAAACGAATGACCAAAAATAATTTGGAAAAAATATCTCGTACTAACCAACACGCACAAATTCTGTTCTACGTGTATTTATATTTAAATAAGAAATTAATATAAATAATTTTTAAACATGTAAATTTGATTCAATATACAGCTAATCTTTCTTACATATATATATATATATATATATATATATATATATATCAGTTTGTGGTTTTTTAGGTTATATGACAAAGGATTAATGAATATTATTATATATCTTTATTGTTGTAAAATAAAATGAAATAAAAAAAATGGAACTTTGAATTTACAATTTAGCAATTCCAAGCTCGTGTTCGGCTCCATGAATCACTCAAAAGCTTTACCATTAATTTAGTATGAAGTCAAGCGCTTTCAAAAACTATTTGTACCTATTTTTTTTAATTATATATATTATATTCATGTAGACATTAATTAAGTACTAATAAGTCAACTAATTTTATCTACTCTGTCGTTATACACCTTACCTGAATTTTAATTTTTTTTAGCAGTGATAAGAAAAACAATATAACATTATACATCACTTTAAATTTGATAAAGTATCTATTAAGATTAAATATAATAATAACTGCAAACTTCTTTTGTTCCGTGAATTACAACTGCCCAATGCAAACTCTCGCAAGTAAGAATGCTTGGAATGCATATATTTTTTTTTTATGAAATGTGATTGAATTAATACCAAAGGAAAAACAAATTTCATAATATTTACAAATTAGAGATAGTTCTAAACAGATCTTTCATAAATAGATGGGTAAAATTACATACTTCTACATGAAGTAATGCGATATCACTGCTGTAATAATTTGTTTTCTGTCGCGCCCGGATTATGAAGAGAAATTAGCTTGTTCCTCATGATCCGGTCGACCTTGAGTCTTGCATGGTGGATAGTAAGGTGTCGGTCTCTATGAATACGAGAGTTTCTTTCCATCCAAATGGTATATGTGATAGTCTACATAAGTAACTTCTTAATCGTAGCATCGTCACGGTTCGTAGATTGGTTGGTATAATCCAGAAAATATCGGATATGTGTCAGAGGAGGTCTTCCATTAGCCGTCCAAAGTGCAACCAAATCGAGCGACTAAATCAATCAACAACCAAAGGAGAGGTGGAGATGTGATTCCAAATGGGCTCAGCATGGAATGCATATTATAAGAAGAAGAAAATCTGTAACGGTTGAGTTCAACGAATCTCATGTATGAATATTATTCTATTAGAGATAATAAAAACGATAATATACAAAGAGCGAAAATAATTCATAGTCAACTAAAACAACATATACATTAATTATAATTAAATAACGGTCTAATACTACGTTTTTTCATTTAATCCATAGGCCGTCTCGTAATTAATAATTCGAAGTGTCATCGTCAATTACATGTATTAGTATTGTAATGTAAGTTAGGAGTAGTTACCACGATTACATCCATCGGTACTTCCAATTTGAAAAAAAAAATCTATTTTGACTTAGTTTTCTTAATTACTTACAAAAAATATTAAAAATAAACAATGAAGGTGGGAAATAAGTCAAAGGACCATTTATCATATTTGACGAAGCGGTCGCTTAAATACACGTCCTAATGAATGGAATGAGGCTAACGTCATATATATATATATTAAAATAGAATGGTATTGTCTTTCAACAAATTTGATCCACATATTAAACCTAAATGTAAAGTATGTAGTTAAATACTACGTATTTGTTTCTATTAAAGTTTTTTTTTTTGGTAATGTTGTTTTCATTAAAGTTTTTTTTTTTTTTTTTGATAACCAGGATAGTTCATCGGGCCTTTGACCCGACTATTTAATTATATTTGTACAAAATAATTATTCTTCATTTAATATACTAATTATTTTTATTTTGGATAATTATTCCATAGTATAAAAATTGTACTAAATTTAATAGTATGACAGATTAAATTATAAAAATATTAAATACTACGATTATAAGTCAACAACTATTAAATTATTTATAGAATTCCAAACATATTTGGCGGGGTTATTATATATACGTATATGTGAATAAAGTAATAACATATATTTTAAGTATCTGTATTTGTCACGGACGTACATTCTTCCATTTATGACCAAACATAACAAGCAACATCAAGAATTACAACTATCATTTTATGGATCACGTGACAATAGCGATGCGCATGAGCATCGCTTGATTGGTACCAATCGTTTGTTCATTTTTATTTTTTTGGCATTTTCCAAACCTTTTTTTTTAAGACAAAAAAAAAATATTGTAACGAAGGAACTATGAAATAATATATTTCGAATAGGGTGGATTGTTTGGTTATCAATCCAATAACCGAAATAAATGACATACAATTGTAATACAACTGAATGGGTATGATTTATTTAAAATCAAAAAAATAATTTTAATCCAAATTTAACTGAATTAAAATAATTAAAAAACAGTTTTTTTGAATGATCGTATCTAATATATATGGACATCAACAATAATATTTTTTTTCAAAATAAAATAACTGAATCGAAACAAAATCAAAATCTTCTGTACTTTTAAATATATATTAAATATTAGAGATACATCATAAAAAATGATATACAATTTAAAATAGAGAAACTCAAGGATAAAATGTTAATAGTAAAAGTAATAAAAAATAAAAAGGAAAAATGGTTTTAGATTATAATCACTAGTTATGACAATAAATAATTCTGTTGCTGATTTTTTAGATGTACATCTGTTGTGTTCCAATAGTCGAAATAATTCTGTTGTTGAATTTGTCGAAATGTTGAAATCTTTTGTTGACAATAGAAAAACGTTACTGTTTCAAAAGTAATAAATTAAATACCAATAAATCCTCCAAAAACAAATATATCACAAAAAAAAAAATCAAGAAATAATTTCGTTGAATTCGGGTCATATAGTTGATGATTGCTTGTGGACTATGTGGAAAACTATGAATAATGTCAGCCTTCAGTAAATGTCATAGCTTACATATCGAATTTCTATTGGTTGAATTTACCTTTTTATTTATTTTATTTATCTTTTGTACTTACAGATTATGTCATTTTTTGATAATCCATTTACACGTATGTCTTTTAAGAATCGCTAAATCTGTAATTACTTTCCGTTAACTTAGTTATGTCACATTAAACTTAGTGCTTGACCATTTGAAGAAAAATATAAATAGTATTGTCCTCTTATAAAAACATAACTAGGAGAAAAAAAATAAATCAAAATTAAATAGTAAATACATAATTAATTTTCGACGGCCGGATTTATTAAATATTAGGTATATTAAAATAAATACTGAAAACTTTTGTGCTATTTAAAGGAAAGCCACAACTTCTCCCACCACAAACAAAAAGTTCGTTTCTTCTAAAAGCTAACAAAAAAAAAGCTTCCATTTTGCCAAAAAAAAAAAGGAGTCTTTCTCTGAAACCCCACTGGGAAAAAAATCTCTCCGGTAAATTATAAATCATACGAAAAAGAAAATGATCGCATACATCGAACCTTTCTTCCGCGACAACGATGCCGACGGTGGCGCCGGGAAACCCGACGGCGTGTCCATGTCACTCGACATACAGGGCACAATCGTCTTCGGCGGAGCAGCGGCGGAGATAGCCGGAAAAGACTTCGGTGGCATGAACTCCGTCAAACCTCTCGCCGTCGTGAGACCCACCGGAGCGGAGGATATTTCCCGTGCCGTGAAGGCGGCTCTGCGTTCAGAAAATCTGACGGTGGCGGCTAGAGGGAACGGACACTCCATCAACGGGCAATCCATGTCCGACGGAGGACTCGTCGTAGACATGAGATCGACGGCGGAGAACCACTTTCAGGTGGGTATCTCCGGCGACGGAGTTCCGTACGTGGACATCTCCGGAGGAGCATTATGGGAAGATGTCTTGAAACGATGCGTTTTAGAGTACGGTTTGGCTCCGAGGTCGTGGACAGACTACCTCGGGTTAACGGTCGGTGGTACGTTATCTAACGCTGGCGTTAGCGGACAGGCCTTCCGTTACGGACCACAGACGGAGAATGTAACGGAGTTAGATGTCGTCACCGGAAAAGGTGATGCCGTTACTTGTTCCCCGACGGAGAATCCAGATTTGTTCTTCGCCGTCCTCGGTGGTCTGGGACAGTTCGGTATCATAACTAGAGCTAGGGTTTTGCTTCAGTCCGCTCCAGACATGGTGGGTAATTAATCAAAAAAATGATAATAAATTAATTAATTAATTTCCCTATTCTTGGTTAGATTCTCTAATCCGTTTGAAAAAAACAGTGGAAATAATTCGACCAAGAAGTGGAATTCCATTGTTTCAGAATTTCAACGAATAAGAAAACGGGTTTACTGGCGTTTGCGCCACGTAATCTGTGGATATTTATCTGGATTAATGACTTGATTAGTGGGCTGATTAGTGTTTTCTTTAATTGTGTTAGGTGAGATGGATAAGGGTGGTTTACGCCGAGTTCGACGAGTTCACTCGAGACGCGGAGTGGCTGGTGAGTCAGGAGGGCGAGTCATTTGATTACGTGGAGGGGTTCGTGTTCGTCAACGGCGAAGACCCGGTCAACGGCTGGCCCACGGTTCCACTCGATCCGGAAGACCGGTTCGACCCGAATCGTATCCCGAAAACCGCCGGGTCGGTTCTCTACTGTCTCGAAGTGGCTCTTCACTACCGAAACTCGGATCGCGAATCAACCGTCGATACGGTAACGTTCTTCACGTTTCCTTCTCTGTGATGATTCAATGCTTCGCGTCGTACTATAACGACGATGAGACAAAGTATTCTTCTCCACTCGATCTTTACGTGATGGTGATCGGACGGTGGAGAAGAAGCTTCGGTGGATTTCACCACCGTTTTCTTGAATTCTGGTTGACCGGCATTGACCCTAGACACGTGGGACCCGACGAGGAGGTGTTTGACCTCTGTGGGACCCGCAGTTCGCTAGAATGACCGGACTGTAAAATAAAATAAAAGCTAACATTCACTCGACACGTATATAAGAACTCGGCCCTCGGTGGAGGACCGCTTTTATGAGTTCTCGTCCTCCATGATTACAGATAAAATTAAAATATATATATATATAATATTTATTTTATATTTTTATATTTTAATTTGGGAAAGATAGGGGATTTTACACAGTATCTCCTGACTGACTTCAGACTATGAAACTGACTACACATTGGGCAATGTATCTCCCATTAGATTGTCTGACAGAAATTAAAAATAATGTCTTTCCCAAATTTGCCCTTGTGGGTGACCACATAATTACGAAAACGACATTGCCTCCTTGTTTTTTTTGTCTCCAATCTTTTTATCCTCTCGATAGAAAACCCATATTTTCAGTTCCCAGTTTCTGACATTTTTTTTAGATTACCTACCACCATTTTTATAAAACTAAAAAAATAAAATGATGCTTCGTGGACCAGGGGTAAAACCGTACTTTCCACCGTTGAGGTGATGTCATGTAGTGCAGTGATAATTGAAAGGATTTGCATATATGCATAGCATTTTGATAATCCATTTACACGTATGTCTTTTAAGAATCGCTAAATCTGTAATTACTTTCCGTTAACTTAGTTATGTCACATTAAACTTAGTGCTTGACCATTTGAAGAAAAATATAAATAGTATTGTCCTCTTATAAAAACATAACTAGGAGAAAAAAAATAAATCAAAATTAAATAGTAAATACAACGCTCTTCTCCGGTCCCCCACAGAGGGCTGTCGTTCTCTATAGAAAGAAATCTGCCCAATTCTCTGTAAGTTGTTGAATTTACAAAACCCCCCCTGCCGTAATTTTCAGAGGGTGGAGCGACTGATCGGACGGCTAGGATTCGTGGAGGGGATGAGGTTCGAGAAGGACGTGAGCTACGTGGAGTTCATTCTGAGAGTGAAACGGTCGGAGGCGGCGGCGAAGGCGGGCGGGACGTGGGATTCTCCGCACCCGTGGCTGAACCTCTTCGTGTCGAGACGGGACATCGCCCGGTTCGATCGGACGGTGTTCAAGCAGCTCGTCAAGGGCGGCGTTGGTGGTCCCATGCTTGTCTACCCTCTTCTGCGTAACAGGTGATTATTGCCCACACCCCACATCCCCCTCGTGGTGGGTCCCTTTTCAATTCCTCGGGGCCCATTTTATATGAAATAGTATACGTGATAAGAGTGGTCATTTTTCTATTTTGGGGTTCACCGTTCAGGGTTAGTAGATTATTTTTGGATTTTTTGTATTAGATTCATTCTTTATCTTAAATTATATTTAATTTGGATTAGAGTTTTTATTTACACAAATATTAATTTTTTTTTTAAAAAATGCGATTTTTCATTTGAATTATGGTTAAAATTCGATGACATATTATTAGTCAACATAGATATGTTTGATTTTCTATAATTGAACCTAAGTATTACACTCTAATATATTAGACTATTAGTTGAGTGACTGGGTGCGCACGTGCATCTCACGTGAAGTGAGTCGCACGGTCTGTGAGACGTGTGATCCACGACGGACCACGGAATGTTGTACACGTGTCACTTGCAGCGAATTACTTTTAGAAAATATTGAGTTTTATGGACAAATAAAATAGAATTATGAGGTCCGGTAGGATTTTTTTTTAGCCGATAACAGAAAGGGAAGTAGGTGATACGATGTCGTATTAGTAACGGGTTTTGGTGTTGGTGATGGGGCTTGGTTGTAACCGTCGGTGAGGTTAGCATCTGATCTCACTACAAAGATCCTGTGGGACCCATAGATGCTCAAACCGTTAATTTTCTCCTTTTTTACTCCTTTTTTTTTTTGAAATCTTTCTGGTTGATTACTGAACATTTTTATTAAGAATGTCGTCAATGAGAGATTTTACTGTCCGGACAACATCCTTCGATACGGGTTTTCACAGTGATCGATTATGTAGTTGAAAATTGAATACTTAATTTAAAGATTAGGTTGCATATTCAATTTTTGGATTTATTTTTTTATGGAAATTTATGTTGCATAAACGGACAAAGGGACAAAGTTTTTGGTATGTAATTTCTGATTTTATTATTCGCCCGACCTTTAAAGCAAATAATGTCATCCATCATCATTGACCGATTTGCCCTTGTCGTTGTAGTCCGTACTAAATCGCAATCTTTGGCTCTTTGTATATTTTTGTTCAGGTGGGACAATCGGACTTCGGTAGTGTTGCCGGAAGAAGGCGAGCTATTCTACATAGTGGCGTTGCTCCGGTTCGTCCCGCCATGTCCGAATGCTGCGATGGTTGAGAAATTGGTGATTCAGAATCGAGAAATCGTTCATTGGTGTCTCAGAAACGAAATCGATTTCAAGTTGTATCTTCCTCATTACAAGTCTCAGGAGGACTGGATCCGACATTTCGGGAATCGATGGTCGAGATTTGTCGATATGAAATCTAGGTTCGATCCGAGGGCTATCCTTTCTCCGGGCCAGAAGATTTTCAATACATAGAACTCCTTGACTCTTTTAGTTTTTTTTTTTTCGGTTTTCTTCAATTTTCTTTCCTCATTTTTTGTTTATCTGTATTTTAAGTTTGGGGTTTAATTTAATTTTCTTGTTAATCTTTTTTCATACTAAATGTCATTACATTCTAACACCCAACGTTCTTGCACAGACATATATATATATATACACATACAGACATGTATATATATTATATACACACATATACATATATATATAGGGTGTGTGTGTGTGTAAATAAATAGAAGTTTTAGGGATTTGGATGGGATGGTTCGGTCAACAAGATCAATACCATCATCCAAATTGGATCCAATCCATGATATTATTGGGATTATGACCCAAAATTTGATGGTCCCTATCATTCAAGCACGCTTGTAATGTGCCTTATTAGCTAATCGATATGGACCATTCGAATATACCACACACTTAGTTTTGGAAATTTCTTTAATTAGACCGGTGACAGAACTTCACATTCCAGTTAAGTTGACATATACACACACACACATATATATATATATATATATACACGTGTACATATATGCGTGTGTATGGGGACAATCTCTCGTATAGCTTATTCTTCGGAGATGATAACGAAATCTAACAAATAAGAATGGGAAATAAATTTAACTTTGGTTATATATATATATATATATGCAGATGACGACGGAATACAATTGGGAAGGTGTCCATATCATGCATGTTAGCTTGCGAAAGTATTAATGCATATGTGAGCATGAATATATGGACGGTCCATATTTAGGAATCTTTTTTCCCCATGATTTATATGATATAAATCATCATGACTAGTAGTAGTTGGTGGTGACATTACATCAATACATACACTTTGATTTGATACAAATAAAAGTTGATGCTAATTCCAATAAAGTCTCAATCTTTTTTGGAAATTTCTCATTATCTCATGTAATAATAATAATATATATTCATCTCGGCGGATTTACTTTGACTCGCCGGTCAAAATTATCCCTTTATGCATCTATTGCATTAAATTAAATAAATAAAAAACAATATAGATTTAGGGCATCAGATTCTTCCCTTATTACCACAAAAGAAATATCAAAAGCTTTCCAAGCCTTTTCTCATACACACGATATTATCTCTCTATATATATATGTATGGATGGATCTAAAATGATTATAATCGAAAATAATAATGATAATATGAAAAAATAATAACCAAGAAACATGAGTTTAATATTAATTTTAATTAAATTAAATTACATTAAATAATTATGACTAATTTTAACAACAATATATATTTCATTACTCCTATATTACTAGGACGTGTTAGGAGAGGTGATGATTCCTTTGCCATCCTTTTGACAAAACCCACATGGCCATAAAGCTGACGTGAAAGCTGAAGAGATATAAATAAAATTAAAAAAAAAAGAAAAAGAAATTACATATATTGCAAATTGTTTGTTAACATCTACCTCCACAAAATATATGAACGAAAAGTTGTGCACAAAAAAAAGAGGGACCTCAACTAATGATTAATTAGTTATGATCCATTTTTTGGATCTCAATTTATAACATTTTGCATTAAAAATGGTTTATATATCAAACATAACATTTTTTTATACAAAATATAAAGTAAATAATAAATTACTTTAAAATGATTATGAGATCAATTATATAATTCTACCATAAATTATATCTAAGAGATGTAATGATGAGAATCTTTTCCATCTCAATGTCAATTGTTTTTACCATCATTATCAGGTGTGCTAAGAATTTATTAATATGTAAATTTTTAATAACCGTATCAGATTCCAATTTTCTAAAAAACCACTATAACATTAATTTTTCAATATCTATATTATGAAACAACATTTACACCAATCGAGCGGATGGATATTCTATTATCTTTTTCCAATACTAGGCAGGCATAAATTATATATAGGATATTATAATTTGGTGAAATGTGCCGTATATATATATATACATGGGTGGACCCGTGTTGATATGTATGCATGGGGGTATATGCCCCATTGGTGTGATTAAAATTTTATAATTTTTTCATAAATTTTATCATATTTTAAACAAAATTTATTAATGTCCCCATAAGAAAATTATGTTTATCACATATAAAATTAATTTTGCCCCCAATTAAAAGTTTTGCTAGATCTGTATATCTATATTCGACCAATATAAAACAATACCCTTTTCAAGTTGTAAATAAAAAAATGAATTCTTGTCATATACAAATGGATAATACTTTGATTAAAATATGAAGAGAGAAAATATTTTTGAAATTTTTGGGTTCCAAACAAAATCTACTCGATTTCCTCCCGACTATGTTTTAAGTTCATCACTTTTCTTTCTCGTCGCTTTTTATTTTTTATTTTCTTACACAAGACTAGGTCAATAGAAAATAAAATAATTTAAGAAAATGTGGGTCCACAATATTTATATATTGCAATTATAAGATGATGATTTCCTCGTCAGATGTAATTTTTTTTAAAAAAAAAATGGAAAACCAACGGGCTATGGGTTTCCCATGCATAGGATTAGGCAGACAATCTCCATTCGTTCTTCGAAAAACGCGCCATGCAAGGACGTGGTTCTGGATTTGCTGATTTGGATTTTGGAATAATTGAAAATACTTATTTAATCAAGTTAATTCCATCTTATATATATATATATATATATATATATATATTTTTTTTTTGATAACCGGGTAATCCCAGACCCAAAGGGCCCGGACTAATCCCGACCCACACGCACAACCGGCACCACACGTGTGGGATGTGAAGCACCCGAAGGTGGCCGGAGGGAAAATCTCCATACCCTAGGTGTTGAACCCACGACCTCTTATTCAGGAAGTGAGCTCTCAAACCAACAGAGATGGGGGAGATCCCCTCCATCTAATATATTTTAAAACATTTTTTCGAAACATATAATTTAGAATATTTTTTTTAAATCTTTTTAAAATTCGTATATCGCGCAAATTTTAAATAATATCAATTGTTTATCCATTACGATATTCATCACTTGCGAAAGTCTCCGAGAGTGACAACTCCTTGTTGCTTTGGAAAATGTATTTACTTTTATATATATAATTAAGTAAATATTAAAATTCAGATTTGTTTGGGGGCAGTCAAATTTATCGATGGTTTTGGTAAAAATGAATCTTTTAAAGGTTGCCATAGTTCGATAAAGTTAGAGGGATTTTTTTTTTTTGAAGTTTTGTGTTGGATTTAATTAGGGCTTGTATTCGATCGACACGTGCATGGATAGCTTTTTGCACGTGAATTAAATTTTGCTTTGAAGTAAGAACAGTTTTATGATATTCAATTTTATTTTTTTTTTTAAAGAGATTTCATTCTAGTATCCAAGAAAAAGGAGTTCTAAAGAGAAAATAAAAGTGAAAAAGAAAAAGAAAATAGAGCACGAACAGAACAATTTGATATTAATAAATATTTCACAAAAATGTATAATGTATTACATGTAATATATTTACTTCGCAATAAAATTACCACACAAAAAGACAAATTTGGAATTTGGGGTATCGATTCTATTTAGATTCGATTAAATTCAGTTTTTTTTTTAATTAAAAATAACTTGACAATTTTGTTTTCTGTCATTTTTTATTTTTATATATATTCTATTTCAGATTCGTTTAAATTGATTTTGAAAAAAGTTATATACAACCAGTTTCTAAATCAAATACAATTATATACTATTCATTTCGATATGATTTTATATAATATCCCAAAAGCCTTCTTTTTTGCTAAAATAATATCCCAAAAGCCGTGTTCATTGAAAAACATTTCCTATACAATTTAGTTAGAATTTATTAATTTCCTAAATAAAAAATCTCCCCGAAATTATCAATCCACTAACTTTTATCTCACTCACTATGTATTTACTAATTTCCGCTGTTTCTTTCATGCACCCCACTTGGGTATGATAAACCAAAGTTTCCAAAGGACATAACGTAGAAATGAAGATCGCAATGAATGTGGTTTTGCAGGGTATATTTATTATATAATAATCAGCATATACCCTTTACAGTTGTAGCCAATATTGTGTGTATATATATACAATATATATATATTCGAGTATGGTCCACTAGAGACAAGGCTATGTATAGAGAAATGGATACAGCTATTTTTTAGAATGGACCAACCAACGCTGAATTGGACAAAGTCCCTCCTCTTATTTCTATTGAATTACATTAATGCGTGCAACAATGGCACAACGATGTGATATGTCCATCACGCGCGTGTGTACGTAACAAAGTCATCGTCTTGGCAGTTATATAACAAGAGACAGTCCAAAAATCTTGATAATTTGGACAATATATGAATGTTATTAGTTTAGTATTGTTATATGTCGGAATAATTTAAACAATCATGGATCACCAATTCGGTTAATAATGAATAACCGAATCAATCCCACTCAAAAAAAAAAAAAAAACAAAATCCGATAAGAATATTATATATCGAAATCCCATATTATTGGAAAACTAGGGGTTACATTATAGACTAAGTAAAATCACAAGAAACCCTATTTGGAACCGTCTCCTCACGAGTAATTGTGTGTTTTTTTTTAAATGAATTCGATTTGGTTTGTCTAGTAATTTGATAATCTACATATATATATATATATATATATATATATTATTTTATCCTATATGAATGGAAAATCAAGATCGATATTGTTGACTGCTTGTCATTATTTTTCTCTATTATTGGCACATTCTCAAGAATATAAATCCATAAGTAGGGACCAAACTATCGGACTTTGGATTTTTGTCCGAAATCGGGTTTGCCCTAAAACACCTAATGTCTCTTTGGCACTAACTCAAGATCCATATTTAAATTCAAAGTTCCACCACGACACGATTGCGTATACGACATTCCAAACTATAGGACTCACGATCTATTTTTGGATTATATAATTATGCCAATGGGCTACAAATTTCAAGTTCATGGGCCTTATAACTAATGGGATATAATGAAAATAACAATTGTAAATAAATAGTGGACCCATCGTGAATAATGGGCCCTTTTCAACTCCGGTTCAGTTCTGTGTTTTGCTAAACCAAAATCATATCCTCAAATTAATTTCGCTCCGGTTTTGGTATGGGTTGAATGTGTGAAATTTCAGAAAAGAAGAAGAGATAATCATTATGTAACAAACGAAGTAAACTTTTATTTTTTTTTATTTGGTAACATAAAAGATATTTGAATCAAAATTATTGGTTTATAATTCTTAAATGTTTATCGATTTAGAAGAGTAATATTTTTTTAAAAATAGCAAACACACACAAAAAAAAGATTCGAACAAATAGTTTGTGAATTATATAAATAATTAACTTATTATTTCGAATTTCCTAAGCCATACCCTTATTATGTATTTGAGTCATGTAATAAATTATATGTGTATGTATGTATGTATGTATGTATGTATGTATGTATGTATGTATGTATGTATGTATGTATGTATGTATGTATGTATGTATGTATGTATGTATGTATGTATGTATGTATGTATGTATGTATGTATGTATGTATGTATGTATGTATGTATGTATGTATGTATGTATGTGTGTGTGTGTGTATGTATGTATTGCATTGCCATAAGCTTATTATGTATTTGAATCATGTACTAAATCATATATATTGCATTGCCATAAGGTTATATTATGCCAGTTGAATTATGTAATAAATTATATATAAATATGTGTACATTATCGTTGACTAGAGACGTTGACTCTGGTAAATGTTGGGCCCACGCCGAGGAAGTCGAAATAAAGATTTTTTTTCTCTTCTAAATTCAGTGAAGAAGACAAAAGATTTTCTCCAACAAAAATGTATAAATACGTCTCCGATTTTCTCCCTTTATGATTCACAGTCCATTCACTACCCAAAGAAGAAAAACAGGTGACTCACTCGCGAGTCCTCAACATGGATTCTTCTGGTTTTCCTGAGAATTCTCGGGAAAGTCGCGGAATTTCCCCGGAAAATTGTCCTTCCCAAGAAACCCACCTCCCCAATTTGACGAGTTTGGACGTTCTTGCCCAGGTGGCGTCGGAGGGACTTGATCAAGAATTAGGGTTTGAGACGGATCTCGATGGCAATCATTGCTACGATTTTCCCGGGAAACAAACAGAAAATCAGGGGGGTTCACATGGGGGTGATACGGCGGAGACATCGGCAGCCGGCGAGGGGCGAGTGATCTCCGGTGGCGTGATCATGTCGGAAGCCGAAAGACGGGAAGAGTTGGAGAGGAAGTCCAGATTCGAGAGTTACAAGAGACACCAGGAGGGGATATACTACGCGGCCAAGACATTTGCTCGGAAGTTACATTCTGATATGAATGAGTATCATCAGGATCACAAGAAACAGAGGATTGGAGAAAATGTGGCCAAGAAGGTTGATGAGTCAGGAGGGCCATTTCACGATGCGATGGAGGCGATCAAGAAGAGGGGTAATTTGGGTTCAAATGTTACGCCATTGAAGTTCTGTGCAGGTGAAAACGGATCTAATCTCGGGATGAGAGTAGCTCCTTCACTCTTGGAACTGAGTCTGAGACAGGCTGGGAAGTATGCAGAGGATTTGGTGTCTCTTCAGTGCATTCCTGATGGATTGAGGTCTAAGATTGCGAGCGTTGTCAGTAGTCACGGCGAAGTGAATGCCCGTTTTATGAAACTTCTGGTCAAGTATTCGCCAACCGAGATACGTGTGAAAAACTGCACAAATTTGGTGGAGAAAGACTTAACCGGGATCCTCCATGGCTGTGATACAGAGAGGTTGAGAGTAAGTTCACTCCTGTTGTTTCTTCTCCAAGAAGGAATCATATCTAGTTGTTATGAAACAGTATCGACTTTCACAATCTGCATATGAAGTTTCCTCCAAATGCTAGGAACTGCTCCTTTGGCCATTTTGTTTGCATTGAAATCTTGCCTTCTTGCCCTTGTTTTGCCGGTCTTGAGTTATAGTTAAAAGTTGCTTGCAAATTTTGATTTCAGGTGTTGGAACTTGAACTTTGTGGACGTTCCATGACAGAACACGTGATAGGACACTTCCTGTCTCGTTCACCAAATGGGTTTCAGGCATTGGTCAATGTATGTTTGAAAGGAGCATTCAGTCTGACCGACAAGGCCTTGGCCTTAATTTCCAGATCTGCTCCTCTGCTTCAGAGGGTGAATCTGTCAGATTGCTCTCTTCTCACTGAAAACGCGATTCAGATTCTTGCTGACAGCTTTGGATCTACCTTGAAAGGCCTTAACATAGAGGGTTGCCAAGGTATAAACCCGTCTAAGGTCTTGGGCAACCTAAAGAGATTCAAAAGCCTGAATAGCCTCTCCATTGCCGGGCTTGAAGGCATTGACGATGATTTTGTTCTCGGATTCCTTGAGGCATGTGGGTCAAATCTCACGACTCTTGTTCTTTCAAGTTGCAGGTACTGTCTCAAGTTACATTCCTTAGTTTTTCATTGAATCCTCTGTAAGTCAAATCCTTTTCTGTTCACCAATGGTTTTCCAGGGAATTGACTGATGAATCTACTAAGGGTATCGGGAGATATTGTCCGAATCTAAGTGCCCTCGACGTCTCGTTCTTGGACAAATTGACAGATCTGTCATTGCAATACATTGCAAATGGTTGCAGTTCTTTGAGTACACTCAAATGTTGCAGGAATCATTTCAGGTTTGTTGTCAAAAGCCTTGGTTTGATTTTTAATCACTTGAAGGCACTGCCTTTCTATCACTTTCTGTGCTGAACTGTGAACCGATTGTTTCATTTTCGGCAGCGATGAAGGGGTCGCTGCTTTTCTGGAAGTTTCCGGAAGTTCTCTCAATGTACTCTCTCTGAACAATGTCCGAAAAGTGAGCGCCTTTCTTTTCTCATACTTCCGTGGGTTCTATTTCAAAGCCTTAACAGAGAATCTGAACTCTCTGCAGGTTTTTGTAAATACTGTCATCTCACTGGCTAAAGTTTCCAAGAAACTGCAATCTTTAGATCTTTCATGGTGCCGAAACCTAACAGATGAAGATTTAAGACTCGTTTTATGTTCCTGCACATCGTTGAGACAGCTGAAGCTGTTCGGATGCTCGCAGGTACATATACATATATATGTATATGAAATGCAGAACCTTCAAACAAAGGCTTGAAAGATTTTGCCGAGCCAACTTTGTTTTACTATTGCAGGTAACGGGAGAATTCCTTACAGCGCATTTGGGATTGGCAGTTCAGATCATTGGACTGAGAATGACCCCTCTTCTGGAACATCTCAATGACCTTGAACCTGTTTTTCAAGATGCTTTTGTCAGTGAGTAGTTTCTGTGGAAATGTATAGGTCCCCTCCAAGTTTTGTCTTCTCGGGATAAACAGCTTGGTCAAGATTCGTAACCTTTTTGGCTCGATCGTTACATAGATCGTCTCAATTGTAAAAACGGTTTTAGAGTACCGATACCCTGTGTTCTTGTTTCCTGATCTATTGGAGCTGTAGCATGCCATAAGAGAAGAGCATAAAGTCTTTGGGATTTGCTCTGCAACTAAAATGAATACGGGACCAAATGCTGATTGGTTTTTGTTTGGTTATTGAAAAGATGTTCCAAGTCAGGCCCAAATGTAGAACCGACCAGAACCAATCCATCTATGTCGTGCACTGTTAACCAGGACAACCCGGTTAACCTGTAATATGTAAATCGTACTTCCTAAACCGGTACTTAAAATGTAAAAGCCTCATCAGCAAAGAGCCTGAATGAAACAGATTCTACTTCTGCATTGGCAATTCAAGGAAACTGAAAAAATGCATCAACTAAGCAACTTCCCAACACAAGAAGATATAATATTTCCACAGAAACAACTCAGCCGTATCATCAGACCATTCAGCACGAGATTCTCACGACCTGTCGTTTTGATATCGGTCTTTGCTCAGATGGTAAACCAATGTTCATTGAGGTATAAGATCCACAGAATATACAACACCAAAGTGCTATCAGGTGTCCTCTTTCATGTTTCTGACTCAATTTCCCCTGTTTTGGCCGAGTAAAAAACGATTCAGAAATCTCTCAGATTGTTTTGTCTCGTGAGAAGATGGTCCTCCTTCAGCTGGCGGAAGTTCACAAGGAAGAGCTGCAGCAGTGCTAGTAAACGCGTTGAGAACAAGGAACGCCAGGATCGGAGACAAATCCAATGTTCCTCCAAGAGGCGGAATGATCCCACGGAATATGTTTAGGTATGGATCGCATATCGTGCTGAGACATTGGAAATCAAGAAATGCATCATCAGCATTCCGTTGATTAAGAAAATGCGGAGTTCTTGGGTAGATTCCCCGAGGCTTTACAACATGAAAAAGTATTTTAATTTTGATCAAGAAAAGGCAAAAAAACCGAGCTGCTCCCAAACAAAATGTCTCTAAATCCCAGATAAAAAAACCACTACGTTTGGCATTCATTTCTAAAAAAAATAAACGCATTACGATCAAGATTTCATTCCACTCGGTTTAATCACAATCACTAGAACAGTAGAATGAAATCAAAACGGAAAATCCACAATGAGATGGGGAGTGCATACCTTAGGGGACTAACAATGGCAGGAGGGGTGTTGGGGAACCATGTTAACACAAGTCGAACAACGAGGAGGGAATTGTATATGTTGAAGAAGTTCATCAACCCGTTGGCAACCACCATACCTGCAACCGAATCTCCTGGTAGAACTGCTGCAAACCCATGGTTAGACAGCTGAAGCCGCACCATTTTCGGGTTTTTTGAACGAATCTGAAAGCATTGGAAGGCTCTTCATCAATACAGCCAAAACCGAGGGAGGAAAAGGAAACAAAGGCAAGAAACCAGAGGTAAAGAAACATAAAAGACTGGTACATGTTTCAGATATATGAGCTGAGATGTAAACTTTACAACAACACAATAAACAGAAGCACATTCCCTTCCTACAAAACGTGTTTTCAAACACAAAAATTCAGGAATTTAGCCTTGTGCATGGTCTGATCCAACTTTTACTAACTGATCTTCGCGAGAAAGTAGATGAACTTTAAAACATTGTGGTCTCAATCAGATCACAGGAAATTTATCTCTTTGTTTCAACCTCACATTCTTTTCAAAAGACAAGTCTTCATCAACTGTGGTAAGAACGTTTATCACACACAGTGTAAATCCTTCTATCATTCTATCACAAACCCAATATTCTTCCCAACAAATGCATTTCCCGTTGAGCAAACGGAATCCCAAGAGTTTCAACCGTACTTCTTGTCATCTCCAAGCTAGGTGAACAGGGAGAGAGAAGTTACCTCGTGGCAGAGAGCTTGAAGTTCAGACGACAAGAGAACAGCTTTCTGGAAGAGAGGGTTTCGAGAAGCAAGCGAGTGGACGAACCCAGAGAATTTCTCGGTCGCCTTTACCAGAGACCGGTGAAGGTCGTGGATTACATTGGACGACTCGCAAGCCGGTGGAAGGAGCAGCAGATTCGGTTTGGTCGGTCGCGCGAGAGGTATTTTCAAAAATGCCGAAGAGAGCGAGACGAAGAAGTTGGGAACTGCCCTCGCCGGAGACGGAGAAGTTTCCGAGCTCTTCTTCACCGGTTCTGTCGCCGCCATTGAACTCTTTCGCTGTTCGAAGCCGAGACGAAGAGGATAGGGAAGGGAGATAAAGAGCATAGGAAAAGGATAAGAGAACAAGGAGAGAGAAGAACATGTCAGAGATTTGATTTCATCCGTAGATTTTCTGAAAATCGATCTAAACCGTCCATTTATAAGATTAAATCGGACCGTCGATTTCAGAAAAAAAATATCAATTTACCATTGATTTCAAAGATTCGATCTCAACCGTTGATATATATGACACGATCGGACCGTCGATTTCACAAAATGTCAACCGACGATTCTTGAAAATCAATCTAAAATTTTAAACCGTCTATATAAAAAAAAAAATAATGTAAACTGTTGATTAACAATATTTCATCTCAAACGTTGATTACGTCATAAACGATCTCCATCGTTGATAGGAAAAATTCGATTTCGAGCAAGTACTCTCAACCGTCGATTACTCCAAATTGATCTGAACCGTCCACACAAAAAATACAATCTAAACCGTTAATTTATGAGCTGTATTTAAAACCGTTAATTTAAATGGGAAACCCTAAAAAAAAGGGGACATGGGTTTTACTAAGGATGGATGTTTCGGTTCGATTTCAAAGAACCAAACTATATCCAACTGAAAATTTTTGGTATTTTTTTAATCGTACCGTTCAAAATTCTCGAACGGTATAATTTTTATAGAATCGAATTTTTCGAAACCAAAGCGAACCAAACTTTATAAAATTCCCGGAAAAACAAATTTTTTTTAAGAAAATCTAAAAACTTTTAACAAAAACCGAAATCGAACAGTACCGAAACCGAAATCAAACCAAACCGAATATTATACGGTATTAATTTGGTACAAATTTTAGAATATGGAATAAATTGTTCCTGATCCAAACCGTTAAAATTCCAATCTGAATCCCAAAACGTTCAGTACCCTTAAGTTTTCGCTAGCTTTGCTTTTATGTGGCGGCGAGCTTGGCCAAGATGCCGATGGCGGCTACAGAAATCCGCCGGATCTTGGCAGTTGTCTTGCCGGTTGGGACTTCCCAAGATTTCTCCGGTTAGCTCATTAATTAGGGTTTGGTGTGTATACATATATAGATAGATAGATATGTGTGTGCATATATATATATATATATATATATATATATATATATCAGAACTTGAATAAAATTAACTAGTGATTTCCAAGTGTCTGCTTAAAACCCTAAAAACATGTTATTTGAACCGAAATAAATACAATTTCGTTTCATTATGAATATTCACAATTTCTAGTGTATGGTAACACGACACTATGAAGGGGGTTACTCATACATATCTTCAATTAATGCACTTTTTATATGATGGAATGGCCTTCCAGTATTATCTATATAAAAAAAATAATGATAATATGATCAAAATAATAAATCGAAAACCGAAGTAAAACATCATAAATATGACTTTGATTCTAAATTTTATATATTAAAACCATATAAATATCCCGTCAAATGATTTTAATATATTTTTTTTGAACCCCATGTTTTTTTAACTTTATAAAATAGGGGGGAAATAATGTAAAATTACGAAGAGGAAGTACACAAAAAAGACATGAGGATGGCATTGAACTCGTTGGGCTTTTCTAATTGTGGTAGATGCGAAGTCTCCTCTATCACCTCGAGTCTCGTCCTCTCCCCCAAGATTCTGCGGGGAAAAAAAAATTGGTTATAGGATATTTCAATATTATATATATTAGTTGGTCCTCGTAATTACATGAAATTTCCATTTTTCTTGTTAAATCTCACTATATTATTATTATTATTATTATTATTATTATTATTATTATAAACCAACTAGAAAATTAAAACCCACGATTGGGTGGCTCAATCGGTAAAAAAAAAGAGTAAATTTTTTTATCAATCCAAATCCGAATATTCATTTGAGAAGGGATATTAATTACATTGACTTCTCTACTCTTCTGTGAGATGTAGTATGATCAAAAACTCGATGAAATTCTGGATTAGAAAAAAAAATTAAAAAATTCAGAAAGAAAATGTAGAACAATCAAGAAAATTACTTTATCTAATTTTTTGGTAAAATTTATTTTTTGAAAAAAATAGAGGCCCTCTCTCCATGCAAGATTGAAGAAAAAAAACTGAAAAGGTTTCCATGATTATAATTCCCGATATTGTTAAAATATAATGTTATGGTAATTTCCTTCGATATATATTTTATGAATAGAATAAGTTGAATAATAGATAAAAAAAAAAAATAAAGAGAAGAAAGATGAGTTCATCACTCTTTGAGTTCACGGGCCATTCTCAATGGAAAAACCAGATCTTGGTCTCCCCATATCAGCAAGATTTCCTGCGTATTATTTAGCCAATGTCTCGAATTCATCAATCATTACATGATTTATATAAAAATTTACGAAAAAAATGTAAAAAATAATGTAATCGTAATTAATCAATGTTTAGCAAAACGTTACGAGAGGGAATATTACCTGTCGAAGTTGGGAGAGGTTGACGGTGTCGTCCCTTCCAAGGCTTAATCCTTTTAAGAGTTGAAGCTTTTCCCCTCTATTTTCTGAATACATTTTCTGTCTTCACAGTTTTTGTATTTATTATATATTTGACTGTAAATATTATTTTGAAAAAAAAAACAAAATACGTTCATCCCTCTAGTTACCTATACATATTTAGGCGTTAAATGTTGTTATATATATATATATATATATACCCTCCTTTGGAAGTTATAGGACTTCATCAAATATTAGATGGTTTCGAGAATTTGCTTATCATATGCATATATATATATATATATGTGTGTGTGTGTGTATTAGTACGTACCCGGCAAAAATCGTTCAAGACGAAATCAGGGACATAACTAAGGCTCCTCGTGGAGGCCAACTCTGACAGCCTCCGGAGATCCGCCGCCGTCGACGGGAGCATGACATCCGCCATGTGTTAGGGTAATCTTATCCCAAAGACGTGGTCAAAGCTTGGAGTGACAGATGTTTTTCAGTTTGGAATAAGTCAGAGGAAGTGGCAACAACTTCCAGATTTAGTGGGGTTTTATTCTGCAGTTTGTTTTGAACACGTTCTCTTTATTTTCTGTTGTTTTTGCTCTTTCTATTTAAACTATGGTTCTGGGTAAAAATAAAGTTTGAGCTTTTGCGAAAACTCCTCTGTTTGATTCTTTCATTCTTAGAAACAGAGTATAGAATTCTGCATTTTTGAGTAACATTTGGTATCAGAGCGCGGTTGCGGTGAATGCCGAAATACATGTCGAGACAAGAATCTTCTGGCAGTGTTGTCCGAGATGGTGACGATGCTCAGACAACACACATTGAAGCAGGATCACAGACGAAAGAAGGAAGCATATCAATTCAATATCCTATGCTAACCAAGACGAACTATACTGTGTGGGCGATGAAAATGCAGATTTACATGCGAGCTCAAGGCGTATGGGATCCGGTGGAATCCACGGGACCTGTGGATGCAAAGAAAAACAGCATGGCTCTTGCGGCAATCTGTCAAAGCATAAGTGAAGAGACACTTTTGCAGATCGGAGTAAAGAGCACAGCTAGAGAAGCATGGGATGCATTGAAATTATTGCATCAAGGTGTCGAAAGAGTTAAAGAAGTAAGAGCTCAATCACTGAGAAGGGAACTTGAAGGAATAAGAATGGAAGAGAATGAATCTGTGGATGATTTCTCAGCAAGAATCTCAACCATAGTGAGCAAGCTGAGATCGTTGGGAGAAAAGGTTGAAGAGTTATATGTGGTGAAAAAGGTATTGAGGTCAACTTCATCAAAGTTCATGCAACTGACTTCTACAATCGAACAATTTGGAGATCTGAAGAATATGAGCTTTGAGGAAGTCACTGGAGCTTTGAAAGCACATGAAGAAAAGATGAGAACCTTTGAAAATAAAAAGGATGAGCATGTTCTGCTGACACAAGGAGAGTGGAGAGCTAGAGAAGAGAGCTCAAACTCAGCAGAGAAACGAGAAAGGGAACAAGGGTACGGCCGAGGACGAGGTCGTGGTAGAAGATGGATAAGCTTTCGTGGCAGAGGTCGCGGAAACTACGGCAGAGGTCGAAGTTTTGATATTTCAAGAGTACGCTGTTATAATTGCCAAGAGCTGGGGCATTATGCAGCAGAGTGTGAGCTGAAGAAAGAAGAAGAAGAACAAGTTCATATTCTGGAGAAGGAGGAAGAACCAACATTATTGATGATGGAAGCTGGTGAGTTGTTTCACTCAGTCGAAATGACAGATGATAAAGTGTTGCTGAATGAAGAAGACAACACTACACAGATCAACAATCAGACCAAGGAGATGACATGGTACTATGATACAGGAGCAAGCAATCATATGACAGGGATCAAACAGGCTTTCATAGAATTGGACGAAACAGTGAGAGGAAATGTTCGTGTTGGTGATGGATCGATCATTGAAGTTAAAGGAAAAGGAACGGTGAGTTTCAGGTGCAGAAACGAGGAGCAACTAAGGCTGGGAAATGTATATTATATCCCAAAGCTGAAAAGCAACATTATCAGCCTTGGACAGCTAGATGAATCGGGAGCTAAAATTGTGGTTGAAAATGGTATAATGAGGGTGTTTGATGCAAAAGGACAGCTGGTAGCCAAGATTCCAAGAGCATCAAACAGGCTATATACTATGGCAATGACGCAAGCACAACCCACCTGTCTGATCTCAAAGACCAACTCTGAATCTCGGATATGGCACGAGAGGTATGGTCACTTGAATCTCACTACATTGAAGGAGATGTCACAAGGAAAGTTGGTGCATGGTCTGCCAGATATTAGACATTTAGAGGAAGGGTGCGATGAATGTCTGATCGGGAAACAACACAGAGCAAGGTTCCCAAAAGCTACTGTATATCGAGCAAGTAAACCGCTGGAGCTAATACATGGAGACATCTGCGGGCCAATCACACCAAACACGCACGGTGGAAACAGGTACTTCCTCTTACTGGTTGATGATTTTAGTAGACATATGTGGATAGAGATGTTAAAAAGTAAGAGTGATGCCTTAGAGGCGTTCAAGAAAGTAAAACTGGAGATAGAAGTACAGTCTGAATTGAAAGTCAAGATGTTGCGAACTGATAGAGGGGGAGAATTCATATCTGCGGCTTTCAATAGATTCTGTGAAGAACAGGGTATTGTTAGGCAATTTACAGCTCCATACACACCACAACAGAATGGTGTGGTGGAGAGGAGAAATCAGACTGTAATTGAGATGGTCAGATGTTTGTTGCGTGGTCGGAAAATGCCAGAGAACTTCTGGGGAGAGGCAGCTCGAACTGCCGTTTATATCCTGAATCGATCTCTCACAGCAAGTGTGAAAGGAAAGACGCCTTATGAAGCATGGCTTGGGAAACAACCGAGAGTGGATCACATGAGAGTGTTCGGCTGTATTGCTTTTGCAAAAACAGTTGGAACACACCTAAGAAAACTAGATGAAAGAAGTAAGAAGTTCGTAATGCTCGGTTATGAACCAGGGACTAAAGCCTACAGATTGCTGAATCCAGAGAACAAACAGATTGTGGTTAGCAGAGACGTGGTCTTTAAAGAAGGAGAAGGCTGGAACTGGGAGAAGAATGGGCCAGGGTCTACCTCAGAACCGAAAGGGCCGCTGATAACTACACAGACACAGGAACCGAGTGAACCTGAACCTCAGACTCCGATGTTTCAACCAGAGGTGACAGAGCACTGGGGTGAGCAGATGGCAGAAACAGGAGAGAGCAGTAGTATGGGACCAAGGGGATTTCGAAGTCTGCAAGAAATTTACGACACCACACATGAAGCAGAACCTGATGCAAGTCTGTATTTCCTGTCAATTGAAGAACCTGCCTGTTACGATGAAGCAGCGGGAAGTGAGAATTGGAAGCAAGCCATGATCGACGAAATGGAGGCTATCAACAGAAACAGAACCTGGGAACTGACAAATTTGCCAGAAGGACACAAAGCAATAGGTTTGAAGTGGGTTTACAAGCTAAAAAGGAGTCCAGAGGGTGAAATAATCAAGCATAAAGCCAGATTGGTAGCAAGAGGATATGTTCAGAAGCATGGTATCGATTATGAAGAAGTCTTTGCTCCGGTTGCCAGAATCGAGACAGTGAGATTGTTACTTGCCATTGCTGCTCAAGAAGGCTGGAGAGTGCATCATATGGACGTTAAGACAGCCTTCCTGAATGGAGAGCTCGAGGAGGAGGTGTATGTGCATCAACCTACAGGTTTTGTAAAGAAGGGACAAGAAGACAAGGTCTTAAGATTGAGAAAGGCTCTGTATGGGCTCAAACAAGCTCCAAGAGCCTGGAATACTAAACTAGATCGAAGCTTGAAGGAGATTGGATTTCAGAAGTGTGAATTGGAGCATGCTGTATACATAAGAAGAACAGATGATGATATCCAGATTGTGGGAGTTTATGTTGATGATCTGATTATCCTGGGTTCGAAGCCTGAGAACATCAGAAAATTCAAGGAGCAGATGAAGGAATTGTTTGAGATGAGCGACCTCGGCCCTCTAAGCTATTACCTGGGTATCGAAGTTGATCAAGAAACAGAGGGCATCACACTCAAACAGGCTGGTTATGCAGGAAAATTGCTGGAAAAGATGGGGATGGCTGAGTGCAAACCATGTCGAGTACCGATGGACTCTAGAACGAAGCTGAGCAGAAATGATGACAGTCCTTTAGTGGACGGAACCTTGTACAGAAGCGTAATTGGGAGCCTAAGGTACTTAGTTCATACTCGACCTGATATTGCTTTCTCGGTTGGTGTGGTGAGCAGGTTCATGGAATGTCCGAGAACAACTCACCTGGCAGCAGTCAAACAAATCCTGAGATACATCAGAGGAACAATCAACTATGGGTGCAGATATGCAAGAGAGGGAGGAGAGGCTGAGCTCGTCGGATTTTGTGACAGCGATCTTGCTGGGGATACGGATGATCGGAAGAGTACCACCGGCATGAT